CCCCCCCCCCCCCCCCCCCCCCCCCCCCCCCCCCCCCGGTTATCCTCCTCGGATTCTCTTGTCCTATACCTCTTCCTGACCCATTAATTCATTAAAAACAATTCACTTATTAAACAAACAACAGCTTGATTGAACAGTTAGTTAGTTGTCTGCACACAACAGACAAATGCAAAGAATAAGACGATGAAAACCGACGCTGTTTGGTGAAAAAAAAAAAACGCCACAAAATTGCCAAAAAAAATTTAAATATTATAAATTGAAAAAAATAAGACAGTAAAAAAAACAAAAAAGTAGTAATAAATTTTAATAAAGAAAAAAAAGTACAAAAAAAGTTTTTTTAATTTTTAGGATTCGCTTCTTTTTCTTCCTCCCTAATTTTTTTTTTTCCAACACATTTTAAAAAAAAACATTAATTATAAAGCACTAAAATTTTGATAACTGATTCTAAGTATCTGCTGATTAGTCGGCTATTTTAATTTATTCCCAATAAAAATAGCATTTTTTTTCTCTGGTTTCCTCTTCTCCTGTTTTTTTTATATTGTCAATTGTAAGGTTACACACTAACTGTTGTATTTGACGCATTATTTTTCGAATATTTGTTGTAAAAAAGTACTCAATTAATAGCTGACATTTTTTTTTTTTTGTTTGGTAAGATGCAAACTAATTAGTTTTAATTTTTATAAAACAGCTGTGCTGGTGGTGGTGAAGTGTTATCTAAAGCAAATGTTCTAAAAATTACCAAAAAATCGCCTTCACATTGTACTAAACATTCGGACCGATAACGGGTAATTTTGCCATGATACCAAGGTTCCATCTGAAGCAATCCCTCACATGATGGCCTTGGATGATCATATGTTGGCGATGTTTCTGCAATCGTCGACATAACGGAACTATACGGTCATCTAAATTTACCTACAACAAATTCCATAGTCAGTTTATCGTAGTTAATAAAAGGCAACAAAACAAGAGGAGAAAAAAAACAGAATCACAAATTAACGATAGGATACTGCTTTCTTTCACTTTTTCAATGTTTCAGTGTATAATCAA